CCAGTCAGTGCTGTGCCTGCTGGAAGAATAAGGAAAGTGATAGGACCTGAATGGCTAATGAAATCGCACTCTAACCAGGGCGAATAATTGCTCTTTCTGTCTCTCTAGCTTAATAAAGATTCCTTTCTAATTATTTTCACATGCGATTTCATGTGGGCCTCCCAACAATGCTAATAGACAGGGCATGCATATTCCTGTGTCAGTTTTACAGACTTCATCATTGAGGTGCAGCCTGTAAGGGACAGAGCGGGGGCCAGAACTTGGACGTAGGGCTTCTAGCAAGGTTGCCTACCTGCAAGTGCACCCCTGGGTTTGTAATTTAGGAAGCGATGAAGAAACTGAAAGTAAGTGTATGTATGCCAAATGGTAGCAGAATACAAAATTAACTGCCCAAAGGTATTTTATCAGTGTGTAAGAAGTTCATAGGCACTCACTGTTTGCCCTGGCCCCATAAGGAAAAAGCAAAATGAGAGTCCTTTTCACATCTTGGGGTAAAAGACTCGACTCTTGCTGGGTTCCCAGTGCCCCCACTCTTGGGCGCATTTCCTCCAGCTCTTCTCACAACAGGTGAGAAGCAGCATGGATGTGAACACCCTGAGTGAGCACCCTGAGGCCGGCCAGCTGTCACATGGCAGGGGCGGGGTCATGGCGTTCCTCAACTCTGGAGGCACCATTCACGTCCTAGCATATATGACTGGTGCCACCAGGAGTTGTGCAGTGTACAACGAGGGTGGCTGTTATCAAAGAAAGATGGCATGAAGGAGGTCAAGCTGTTTCCCTCATGATGTGCTCACAACTGTGTATACTTACACACACTCACACTCGTGCAAATGTATGCATGCATCCATGCACACTGCACACACACACTTAGCACTCACTCCTCAGTAGCCTCCGCTCCACCTTGGTATATCAGGCCCAAGGCTCTATCTTTTTCAGCCTGAGCATCGTTTGAGACAAGGTAGCTTTCTCTGCTCACTGAAAAAAGTTTCCCTCCCAGAGCAGGCTGAAGTGTAGGCGTGTCGCTCTGGTTAGACATGGCAGGCAGGAGAGGCAGAATGACAACTCTGAGGGAACCAAGAAAGCCCAAAGGGGAGACAAGGTATAGAGTTAAGATTGGATTTTGTCATGAAAGGCAGAACTAGCAAAAGCATCATTACAAGGCATTAACCTTGTTACACACAGACGAACAAGCAGAGGCTGGGACCCAGAAATAAATTACACGTAATAAACTAGACAGAATAGGCTGAAAGCAACATTAGCAGTTATGGTCTAAGGGGAGAAAAGGGTAAGATACAAAATAGGCCAAAAAAAAAAAAGAGTAAGAATAATCTCTGGACACAGGGGGCCAACTATACGATTTCTCCCTCTTTCTCCTGCTTGGCTCCCTAGGTATCAACTGCACTTTTGTGTGGAGGTTTCTCTGGGGCCTGTTTTTCTTTTGTTTTCATTTGCTGAAATGAGCGTAAGAAAGCCATTCAGAGGCCTGCTTTTTCCATTCATGGGGACCTGTCTATTTCTGTGTGTTTCCAGCACAAAAGAATCCATTTTCATTCAGCCGCAGCCACCCTTAGGGTTACATGAGGTCCCAGCCCCCTGTTTCCTATTTTCTTCCAGGCTCGCCATTGTAATTGGCTACACAGTCCTGACTCTGGCCAGCATCCTCAAGGGTGAGAGCAACAGGCACCTGCCCAGCTCTTGGTCCCTCACAGCTGAGGAGGAGCTAGAGGTACTGCCAGGTTCAACAAGCTGTGACTCTCATTTCTTATACTGTGACTTGCATTTTGGTTGCAGATGACAGAGAACCTCATCAAGAGCAACTCAAACCATGACAGTGATTGTTGACTTAGTCCAAGGTTTAAAGGTTGGAAATCTGTGCTCAGTCACATCCTCAAGCACCTAGGGCCTTTTACTGTTTCCCCACACCAGTCTGAGCCTGTTGATTTTTATCTTCTATCTTGACTGCCTTTGAAACAGTTGGGCCCCACACAACTGACTTCAAAGGGGGAGGAGGCGAGGGAAGAGGGCCAGTGGGCTCACCTTAAGAACCTCCTCTTAGCAAGGAGGAAACTTATACCCAGAAAGCCCCTCAAGTGGGCTTCTTGTAAATGACTGGCTGGAACTGGGCCACACGGCCACCCCCTGGCTCCCAGGGGTAGGAGAGCAAGCGTCTCGCAATGGGGAGTGGGATTGCCGTTTGGCTTGGCCCAGTCATGGTTTGCCAGGCTTAGGCTGATTGCCGCCTGAACAAAATTATGATTCCTGTGGCAAAGAAGAAGGTGGGAGTACTGCCATGGGCATGGCAGGAAGTCTTTGTGTTTTTAAATAAGGTAATGGTAGCAAACTTGGATTGTGTGTTACTATAGGCCGGACCCTGTGCTGAGCTTCAGTGGGGCTTGTGTACTAACTCACTCAGGACTCTGAGTGAGTCTATGACATAAATGCTGTTGCCGTCACTTCCACTGTACAGAGGATGAAACTGAGTCACAGAGAGGTTACATAATGTGCCCCAGAGTACTTAGCTAGAGAGTGATAGAGCCAGGATTCAAACCCAGGAGGTCTGGCTTACTACCCTATCCTGCTCCTGTTAGGTAAGATGGTACAAGCCTCCAAGTAGCACACAATAAGTACGTGCTACTGATAATAATAATACTAGCGAAAACTTACCAACATGTCATTATTGCTAGTATGATTATTATATCTTCTTTGTAACCACCCTACTAATCAGGCTTGATTAGCCTTATTCACAACTGAGAAAGCCTGCCTCCAGCAGGGTTCAATTAATTGCCACAGGCCCCCAGTGGGTGAGAACCTAGCTCTAGCTCGAACCTGACCTCTCTGACCCCTAGTCCCAGGCATTTTGTTCTATGCCACCAGCTCTCCAGGCAGGTACCATTGATTTAATGGCTGCACTATGCTATTGACCCAACACTTCATTTTGAAAATTGCAACTATTGAAGAACAGTCAGAAGCCAGGGAAGGACACTAAAAAGGCTCAGACAAAAATTTGGAAGCAATTTTTATCTTGTTCCCTTTCAGCCTTGAGCTGCCTCTGTTTTTGGAGCCAATCTTTCACAGACAGAATATTTCATCCCACCTCAGCAAAGGCCACCTGTGGCATCATGGTTCTTGGCTAATCAGAATAGCTATAGTTATTAAGCACCTTCTGGATAGCAGACATGGGAGTACACTGTTCCATTTTGTCCTTGTGGATGGGTCATCAGCAGTCCGAAGCCATTCCTCATTCTGTGTCAAGAGGTGAAGAAAAATGGAGCTCCCTAGTCAAAAGCAGCAGTGTTAGATGGTGCCAGGTGCCCAGAGGGACGCGATGCTCAGTTCTCTTGAGTTAGCCTGTCTGTGCTGCTCAGATATGTAATAAAGGTCATAGGTATAGGTGGCCAGTGTTAAGTTTGAACAATTCTGGTTTTATCTTAAAGCAAGATGTGGTGTGCGTGCGTGTGTGTGTTTGTGTATCTAAAGGTCAGCAATTCTTTTTCTGCTCATAGTCATGAGGCATCTAAATGGCGATCTGTTGTCCTCATTCACAGATTTTTTTTTAACAGAAAAGGAACTCGCCTTCCCCAACTCCATGAAAAGTATCTTTTAACAGGAAAAAAACAACCCTCTAATGGGCCTTCAAACCATCTCCTTAGACTGAGTTTACTCTAGGGTATTTTATGCAAATCAGTCACTTTCTCCCCAGGTTATGACTCCTTTTCCTTGAAAAGTGACCATGGCATCAGAAGAAATCCTCACTACCTTATCTTTCCCTCCCAGCACAACTTCAACAAAGAAATGTAGGTGGCACTTTTAAAGGCTTCAGAAATCAATTTAGTCCTTGGACCCATTCAGTGTAGACATTAATGAAACTTGGTGGGTTTAAAAATAATAAATATTTAATATGACATAAATTGAAAGACATAAACACTGTTGGCAATAATATAATGAAGTTAATATGTCTCAGCTTCCCTCCCAAAATGGGGTGATTTGGGGAGTTGCGGTGACGCTTCCTGAGTTTGCCAGTATTCCCATTGGCTAAAATGCAGACGTGCCTTTGAAAACCTCCGGGCAGTTGGGGACGGGTGCTGGCAGATAAGTGTGCTATCACACTGCATTCAGTGGCTACAGACGGCACGATTCTTTCTAGCTCCATATCTTCCAGAGATTTGTGTAACAAACACAGTCCTCTGTGGGTGAAGGCAGGAAACCGAATAAAATACTCCATGCCTTTAAACAAGAAAGAAAAGGACATTTGGTCAACACCCTGTGTGCTCTGGGTTTCAAGAGGGGCTTTATTTAATGATTAAGAGCAAGTGAGTGATGCACTGTGCAAAGCCTCAGGATGTTGAAATGCCTTCGGGGCCGGACTTGTGCTTTTCATTTCCTCTTCAAAAGCATCAGCACCAGGTCCAGCTCCTGTGCACGGTTCCTCTTTAGTTCTGTGGCTCCGTCTTTCTCACCACCCATGATCCTATCTTTCCCTCTAGACCCTCAGAATTAATTACCCTGGCTTTGGGCTTCTCACTGCACTCTTCTTATAAGTCCGGAATCACCCTTTTCTGCCATCACACCCACTAGGATGGTCCATCTCACATCTTGGGAGATGGCTTGTTTAACCACACAGAAGCTGATCCCTAGCTAAAACAAACTGCAACAGGATCCTGCCAAGAGCCTCCCAATTCAGCAGTGGGCTCTCTTGGGGATAAAGTGGAACTCAGTGTCCTCTATCTGCTGGGGGAGTGTTAAAGGGATGGCTAGCTCACTGCTGGCAATCAATGCACGTTAATACATAGTAAACAAATGGCTTTCCATGGGCTGGGCAAACATGGCGATTTTGCAGATAAAAAGGATAAAATGTTGTTCCTGGGGATCTTGTCTAAGAAAATATGTGTGGGGCTCTGGTAGGAGCCTTCCCAGGTGGGCATAAGTGACATTTAATCATCACGAGAATTATTGCTGTTAAAAGTGATCTTTTTTATTTGTGCATTTGTGTGCATATGCAGAAAGGCAACCAGCAACTTGAAAAAGTCCAGCCCATTGCATCGTCTACCTTGATCCATCCTGACCTGACAGCTGTTTATGGCACCGTGGTAATGAACAGAACTGTTTTATTCCTGGGGACTGGAGATGGCCAGTTACTTAAGGTTGGTTTTCCGTGCTTCCTTCAATGTCAATTTTAATAGTGATCCAATTTTGTGCTTTGTAATTTTTTATTGCTTCTGGATTATGCATAACACCATACCAACTGTTTATGAACTCCTCAGGGACCCCTGCCCCCAGAAATGGCTTGAAAGAAATTTCTTGAAATCTACATGTAATAATCTCCTTGGCTATGCAACAAAGCACTAGCCTCCTTCTTTCCTGGTTCATGCCAAGATATTTCCCTTTCCTTACTCTCCAGCTGCCTGGGCAAGGTGAATGGGGGTCTGGCCCCTACTGTGTCCCCGACTCACCTCCCTGAGACATTTAACCTTTTGGTTCTGTCTCCTTTATAATGAAAATGTACAAAGCACCTGATTTCCCACAACTTCAAAGAAATGAGAGATTATAGGGCTTGAGCAGACAAAAAAACCCCAAAACCCAAAACAGGCGCTCCTTGACTCCAGCCCACTTACCACCCACAGACAGGGTTTGTTTTTTGCCCTTTGTACCAAAACACACACACCACAGAGAGGGTAGAGACCTGGAATTCTTTGAGATTCCCCTCGACTTTTATCTCTCAGGACTATATTTTCCCACTGATTGGATGCACCACTGGTCAGGTTGAGATATTTTATTCACACAGGGAGGGCCCGTGGGGAGGAGGAGAAAAGGAAATCAGAAATACCTAATAACTTGCCTGAGATTATGTAGCGGTTATTCTCTCAATGCCTTCAGCATGCATTTAGTGAACACTTCCTGTGGCCTCCCCTAGCACGTGTGGTTGGGCATTGCACTATTTCTGTCACCCTAGGGTGACATTCCCATGTCTGGCTGTAGCCAGCCAATACACTGTCAGCTCAGATTCTAAATTGAACATTAACAGATTTGTTTTCCCAATTGATCTCCCACTGATAACTAGCTGTGTGGCTTTAGGTTAATGGCCTAACTTCTCTGAGACCCCATTTCTTTTTTTTAATATATTTTATTAATTATGCCATTACAGTTGTTCTATTCCCCCCTTTATTCCCCTCCCCCCTGTACACCCCTCCCCCACATTCCCCCCTTTAGTTTATGACCACGTGTCTCAAGTTCTTTAGATTCTATATTTCCCATACTACTCTTGCCCTCCCCCCTATCTATTTTCGACCTTCCATCTATGCTACTTATTTTCTGTACCTTCTCCCCCCTTCTCCTTCTCCTACTCTCCTGTTGCTAACCCTCCATGTGATCTTCATTTCTATGGTTCGCTCCTGATCTAGCTGTTCTCTTAGTTTGCTTTTGTTTTAGGTGTGGTTCTTAATAACTGTGAGTTTGCTGTCCTTTCACTGTTCATCTTTTTTCTCTTCTTTTTTTTAGGTAAGTCCCTTTAACATTTCCTATAATAAGGGCTTGGTGATGATGAACTCCTTGAACTTGACCTTATCTGAATCTGTAAGGTGAGATTGTGCTAGACAACCTGGAAAACCCCTTCCTCTTCTGAAGGCCTCCAGTTCTGTCTTCTGTGCACCTCTCCCCACTCTAGCCAAACCTGTGCTTGCCCTGCTCCAAACTCTCGCGCTGGGCAGCGAGGCTCCTGCGCCTTTGCTTTTACTGCGCCCCTTTCCCGAATCACTTTCTCTTGTTTCTCTGCTTTCCCGAATGCTCTGTCTCTGTGCTTTGGCTTGGCTTGAACTGCACCTCATCTCTGAGGACTCCTCAGCCTATAGTGATCATGTTCTTCCCTCATCTCCTGAAATACTCATTATCTGTATCATTTTCTTTTTTGGCTCGTTCCAAATGACTTGCTTTCTTGCCTAACCTTTTCCCTTGTGTTTGTCTGGCCTTCTCAACTTGATTGGAAGTGTCTCGAGAAGGGGGCCATGAATTCCCACAGCCTAATACAGTGCTGAGTGCCTGGTAGGCATTTGATTTAATCTGTTTTCTTTGGAGGAAACCCAGTAACATATGGGAGGGAGTTTGTTTGTATACACATTCTTTTAAGATATACATTGATCATCTTTCCTGTTGTGCTAGTTTAATTTCCCCGGGAAAGGTAAACACCCATCAGTCACTCTTCCCCGGTTGCTGGGCGTCCTGCAGTGACAGCTGTAGCTGCCCCAAGCCGGGCAGGCTGATTGGACCCATTAACCTGGCAGAAGAAGTTCCCATCAATCCAACCGGGCCTCCTCCCCAATTATCTCTTCAGATTTGGGATGTTTTTGATGAGTGTTTTGACAAGAACACTGTTTCTCCACCGCTGAGCCAACCAAACCGTTACATGGGAAAATGCAGGTGAAGGAACACTTGACTACGGCTAGCTCCTCAGGGGGAAGCCCGGTTCGCCCCTCCTGTTTTTTGGCCCCACCAGTTCTGTGTGCAGCTGGCCAGCTTCTAGAGATGCTTTGGCACCAGAGGGGTCCAGCCACGCTGCAGCTTCAAGCTGCTGAGGAAGAAGTGGTCAACTGAAGTCTCTTTCCTCAGCAGCGGGAAGGGGTACCCCTTCAAAAGCCACACCGGTGGCCTTGTTTGACTAACAGGGTGGGCTGATTTTCTGCTTGTTTTGTGACTGTTAACGTTTATGACAGTGATTTCTATGTGCCACTCACTCTGCACGTTCTAGCTCACAGGTGGCAAACACAAGGCCCGTGGGCCGAATCCGGCCCTCCACCTTCTTTTATCCGGCCCAGCACCTTGTTTCTACCTGGTGGCAGCCCTGAGCTCCTTGTCCCTAGTTAAGGAGTAGTTACATTTTTACAGTCCTAAAATCACATTCGGCCCTTTGAAGACAACTGTGAGGCTGATGTGGCCCCCAGTGAAAATGAGTTTGACACCCCTGTATCTCGCTAATTCAATCCTCTCCAGAACTCTGTGAAGTAGATACACTGTTCGCATTTTACAGATGAGAGAACTGAGGCCCAGAGAAACTGGGTGATGTGCCCAAGATCACACAGCGACAGAGCAGGAATACGAACCTGGAGCGACTTCAGAGACCGCTCTACAATCTTCGTGACTTTGTAACCTCTGTCTGGCCCAGGGTCACTGCTCCCTGAGCGTTCTCTGGTGGGAGTGGGAAGCACATTGATATTGGGGTTGAAGGTTGGGGGGGTCGATGGTGGGTGACCAGTGGTCCTGGGGTGAGTCCTGGGATTTTTCTTTTAGAGGCTCAGAGAAAAATCACAGCTTGAAAAGATAGACCCTTGGAGTGCATGATGCCTCACGGGCATGATAACCTCCTGGAAAGGAAGCCCTGCCCCTAGCTTCCCTTAGGAGGAAGTTATCAGGGACAAGGTAACTTTGAGCTGACTTAGCCCCTCTAAGGCTCTCTAGAGCAGCCCAGGAATTCCTAAGACTCCCCAGGTAGCTGCGTGCAGATTCTTGGATGCATCCCCCAGGACTCCCCAGAGTCCCGGAGACTCGGGACTGAGAAGAGATGATTCAGAAGACGCAAATAATCCCCAAATCCCTTTATTCAAACACTTCAAGCTTCTCTGCCTTGCCAGACTTGTCACCAGACTGTTAAAAAAGCCGAGCATTGACAGACACAAGCTTGGCTCCCCACGCCCTAGAGTGGAGGTACTAATGAGCAGGGAAAAACAAAACCCAACCCAAGACAGATCAGCCGCATGCTTCCCTGGGATCAAGAGTTGATGGCATTTTGACAGATGCCAGGCACTGTGGTGTGTGGCTGGTCGGATGAGAGACAGGGAACAGCAGTTGGGGGCCAATTGCTGTTTTTTACCAGCACGCAAGAAACCCCGGCTTCTTAAATCTCTGAGAACCTTGTAGAGTTTTCCTATAATACAGTGCATTTTAAATATCATGGTATTTAAGTACTTTTTCTAAATTGTAAAGGTGATAGAGGCTCACCCCAGCCGGTATGGCTCACTGGTCGGAGCATCTTCCCGTATGTCACGAGGTTGCGGGTTTGGTCCTTGGTTCGGGCGTGTGCAGGAGGCAACCGATCAGTGCTTCTCTCTCACGTCTCTCTCTCTGCCTTCCTCGTTCTCTAAAATCAATAAACACACTTAAAAAATTTTAAGTGATATGTGCTCCTAGAAAAAACTGCAAAGTGGAGCAGGGAATGAGGGGGAAGCAAAGGAGAAACACGTCTGCTGTGTGAGAGGGGCTGCTGCTGTCAGCAGTTTGGAGTTTTATTTTGTTTCCTTGTTTTACATATTTGAGGTCAGACTCTATCCAATTTTGCATCCTTTTTTCCCTTTGGTTAATGGGGGAAAATGCAATATTAAAATGTTATGGGAAGCCTCTTATAGACAATATTTTTAAAGAGCTGTATCATATTTTGTTATGTGGAAACATTATTTTGAACTTAAGCTGAGAGAGTGCATCACTTTAAAAGTATCTTGGAAGATATGCACTTTTTCCAAGTAATCCTGCACTACTTCCAAAGGTAACATTTTACTCATGATAAGTGGGAAAAGAAGACTTGACAGTATGCTAATACCTTTCCTGTCCCCTGTCCTGTTTTTATGTCTAAGTCCCTTCATAAGATTTCAGAAAAATGAAAGGACTTTAGAACCAAAAGCACTCTTTGAGAGGCTCTAACCTGCCCCATTATTTTATCAGTGTTCTGTCCCGATGGTTATAAGGCAGGTTATGTTCAGTCACCACCCCGCTCTGTTATTTCCTCATTTTACTTCCTTTCTGAACAGGATTGCATTCTCTAATTTTTCAGTTGTCAGCGTCTCCACTGAGATCAGCTCAAAAAGCACGGTCACACTGAACTCAGCTTTTGGGGATTTATGGCACACCTGCTGTGAAGCCGGGACACTGATAAGCGTACGCAGTTTCATAAACACATGCTGGCTCCTTTTCCAGCTTGTAGCACAGCCTATCACATGGTTTGGATTCTTTGAGCCAATGCACATAAAAAATTATCCTTATTTCAAGGGCAGACTTGGATATTTTGAGCTTTTCCAGGTGGTAAGATAATAACAGAATGTGCATGAAATTTGAAATTTGCAACTTTACGCATGCCTGTTAACCTTTCTTGTGAGCACAAGAT